ACATCATCCAAATCAATTGTGATTGGATTGATGCATGCTGTGTTGAATCGAAAAATCTCGCTTTTCCCTTTGCGTATGTAGTTGACATTAACAAGAACCATTTTTTCTTCCTAATTCGGGTTAAATATTAAGTTATCTCTCCACAGTAGTACATATTTGTATGGAAACATTTTAATTGAGAGGTCTGTTCTGGTATTTTAATATTTAGTATACTCGTTAATTATTCAATGCATTAAAAATTTTAAAGAGAGCAAGAGCAAAGGTTGGTACTTAATAATATGAATTCATTTTATTTCGTTAGGTTCTCATCAGCTGCTTACAACCTAAAATGTTTGAAAATCGACGTTATTACAGATATTGACATACTTATGAATCAGAAGGTGATGAAGGATGAATATACGTATCATGATGTAGCAAAGATTTCATTAAAGTTAACGAGGTCATAAAATTTTTGTTTCGAATATATAGAATTTGGAAGGGAAGGTTCTATAACATAGAAATAGTGATTAGAACTCATGGAATAAAAACACTTTAGATAATTATGTAATGAAGTGACTGAAAATAGATTAATGGTAATAAAGAGAGATATGAATTGAAATTGGTCACTTATGAATGATGTAATTATAAAATTCAGAATGAGATAGAACGACGTAATAAATAAATAGATAAAAGGGGGAGGTTAACGTTACCGGGGCAAAGAAAGATTTATTACTGTTTCTTTTTGTATACAAAGATCTGGTTTTAGAGGTTTGATTGCTATCGCTTCGGCAAATTTCAAAAGGTTTGAGTTTTTTTGTTAATCACCTTGAAGGACTTCAGTGTATTGGCTTCGTGTCCTGTGCCGAGGAGATGTTTTGCGATAGCGCTGCTGAATGCTTTTGGTACTTTTGATCTCAAACCCTTTGGAATATGTTCTTTGAATCGGACGTAGGCTCTTCTTCCTGTTCTACCAATGTAACTGCTTTGGCAGATACATCTAAATTTGTATACACAGTTGGTGGTAACATGAAAGGGATACCTGTCGACATTTGATTGTGTCAAAGAACGTGTTGTTTTGGACAAGACAATCATATTCATATGTAAAATAGTTCTCACTGACTTTGTCGATATTATAGACATTGTATAAATGAACGTATATTGCTGTTATTCATTATTTTTGTTCTATGCTCAATTTCATTATTTTCACTAAATTTGTGAAGATTGGTCTTAAAATACTATAACCTATGGTAAACAAAGGAGTGTTTAATTGTTTTTCAACAGAGAAAAAATACTTCCCCACCTTAATAATTTTAAATTAACAAACTAATAGCAAATAAATATTCTCTAAGTAAATAAAACCAGATGTCAATTGAAGGCACGAAAACCTTACAAACTCTATACAACAGAACATCGTATTACATTCTATTCTATAATTATTGAATAATCACAAAGTTTATATAGAAAAAAGTTCACTTTCTTATGATATTTCTGTTTATGTTTGAAACTGGTTTTAAATTAATTTCAATTCATTTGTTGTTTGTTCAGTTGACTAGCTTTTATGGTCATTTTTGATCAATGAAAATAATAGGAATTTATTGAAATATCTCAAGATGTTTAGTGGACTCATTTGACCGAAGACCCATGACATAGGTTTGACATCCGTCAGCAAGATATACATGTATTCTTGTTGAAACCAACGGTTCTTAGTTTGTTTGAACCTTTAGACCGTATTTCTGAAGTCTGAGACATTACCACTTAAATACTTTGGCCACAAATTATCCTTTATAAGACTGAATCGCTTCCAATTGACTAATTACTGCCTAATGAAGAATTTTAACTATGCCTTTAGACCTTCATATGTTAATGCCAGTCCAAATCCTAGGCAGAGAGGGAAGGTTGCGAGTAATATTAGCGAAAATACTTCGTAAAATAGAAACATTCTTTGAAAAAAAGTCATGTTCATTTAGCGCCTAAGATTTTATAAAATTTTCTCAGTCAAGTTGTGATCTGTATACTGGTCAATGTAATTCGATATTATATGTCTAAGATTTTGGTGTTAAGTTGTTGCAGGTAGTTGACACCAAACCCTGGATATAAGTTTCATACTACTTATAATTTTGCAAAAAAAAACAAATCTGATATTGGTCACTACTCGTATTATAACATTATTTTCATAATACTAATACAGATTTTTTATTTCATAAAATGAAAATTCTTAAAAACTCAAACATATTGAAAGAAAAGTTGTTGTACCATCTTTATTCTAATAAATTTATCATAATTCTTAATGTATTCATAAAAAGAGGTTAGAAACACGGTTTATGTATACTATTATCATTTTGTTGTAATGCAGTTATATTTATAAACATGTAAATTAAAATAGACAATGCATTTGTTTTAGTGTAAGATTTGTATTCTACTTCTGGTCATAAGATCATCATTTTTTTCTACTCGATTACAATAAAAACATGAAAAATAAATTAGATACTTAATCATTGTAAGGCATTAAAAGCATTTTTTGTTGTTGAATTTAGTATAAATAAAGTTCTTTGTACTTCAATAACAATTGAATGTAAAAAAATTCTTCCAAATTCGTACTCTTACATGATTTAAATATTAAAGAGATAATTTGGTAAAACAAAAAGATTCCATTGTTTAGTATTTATTCTTATTTAGCATTAAAACTCCGCCTTGAGCCCCTCTGGAGCTACTGCCGGTCCCAAGCTTGGATAACGTAGAAGTGTTGGGCATGGAGTTAGTCGCCCCATCCCGTAGAAAACTAACTCGCTAAAAAAACTCTAACTAGAGAAATTTATCCAAACCTGCTGGTCGGTGGCTTATGTTGGGAATAACAGGCTCAAGGAAGTAATTTAAGGTTTAACTTTCTAACAATAAGTATCACATATATAAGCCAGTTTATATTTATGGGCGGCCTGCTTGAATATCAGGGCTATCTGTACTTACCATTTAGATATTTGAACAAGTTATCTGTCTTTTATTTCTTTCAACAAATCATTACGTCAATTAATTGCGCAATCTATTCGGGTGCGTTTGTGAAAAGTTCACGACCTTACAAGTTAGGAAAGAGCACAATCAGAGCCATTATGGTTGCTCGTAATATACATTTAAAGAAATGTAAATTATTCAGATGTCGATTCCTGAACTGTTAACATCTAATAGGCAATCATAAAATATTTATCGTCAACATCGATCAAGAAATAAGAAATGGAAACTTGTTGAATTACTTTGCGCTGAGAATTCTATATTGTATCAAAAATATAATATTAAATAAACCTAATAGTAATAATAATTTAAAATGATGATAATTTGGCTAATCTACTAATCAAAAAGATTTATACACAGAGATCTATGAGTTAATTTTTAAGACTTCGTTTTTTATGATGTCATAGAGGCAGTTATGTAACCTGACCATCGATATTTTTTTTCTCAGATCAAACTAAATGAATTGCACTTTGAATAAATGAACGATTGGTCGAAAGCTTGAGTGATAAGTTAAGTCTGGACACTACAGTGTTTGTAAAGAGGCTCTTTATTCAATGCTGTGTGATTTTGTGATTGATCGTTTCTGAGAGAATGTAATATATGATGAAACAGTTCATCATATTTCTATAGTTTTTGGTAGTTTTCCGGAAGACATTATTCTGTTTTGTGAATTGTCTGCAAATGTAAAAGTCCTTCACTAAAATACCTGACTAAATAACCTGTAACACCATAGGATAAATGAAATTTTCTTTCTCTATTTTCAATTGACCTTACTGACTTTTCAATTTTTTTAAAGATAACTTATTAACTGAGTATTGTAAGGCTCAAAAGAACGGCAACAAATAATTCGTTCTTTTCGTAATCTTCAAATGAAACCGAAATCATGAAGATTAAAGAGTGAAATCAATCAAAATGATATTAAATGTTCAGTATCCTGCAAAAATGTACTAAATATAATCATCAAACACTGAAAATAAGTAAATTGTAATGTCGTACATGGAATGCTCATACAATGTTGAAGATCGAAAGATTCTTCTAATTTGCTGCAGAATCTTCCGATTCGTTCAGATCCCCATAACAGACATATAACTGAAAACCGAGTAATTTCTCATAATATAATTCAAAATTGACTTTAAAACAGACCAAAAATTTTAATATAGAAGAATATTTATGAGAATGAAAATTAAAAAAAAATTCTTCTTCATACATAGAATGCACAAATAAATAACATGCTGCTATTTTATTAATACCATAGAAAAATTTAGTTTCAAAGATTTCATTACTTATACTTGATTTAGTTAATCGGAACTTTAGTAAAAGTGCATCTATAAATTAAAAGGTTTGAAATGATATTTATTCATAGTGTTATTAAATCATTTCCTTTTGTAACTAACATTAAATGATTAATCAATTTTTAATTGAAAAACGACATACACCGTTTTGTTGTCACTCCATATTGTAAATAAGAGTTGGTAATAAAATGGTTAATATGGTATTTGTTTTATAAAGTTAATCATAAGTTTCAATGTTTTAAATTAAAGTGAACAAAATTATCTACCTGTTTAGGCCAGATATTTGTATCGAAAATTAGTGAGAACTGAAAGGCTCTATATTTAAATATTAGAAATCCACCACTCGACTTTGAAACAAATGAGTTGCTTACTAAATATTGAAATGAAATTTAATTCGAAAATTAGAATAGTCTTAGTGCTAATAAAAATGAATAAACACTGTTAAAGTAAGACAAGATTAGATGAGTATAACTAAATGATATATTGATATAGAAGTACATATAGGTTATTTGAAAGAAAAGAAGAAGCGACACTAAACCTGTACTTTTTTGAATATATGTTTTCTGAAGTTTTATATGAGTTCAATGAGACCAAATAATCTTTATTTGTAAATTGTTAGATTTTACAGGACAGTCGGCACATAGATTAAAAGTCTAACCATATATATATATATATATATATATATATATATATATATAAATGATGTAACTGGAAAAATATGCTCACCTTGCAGGCTTTATTTGCCCCATTTTCCTGACACGAACCGTGCAAAATGTCACACGTGGAAATTTACCTGAAGTTTCCCATTCTTGGCCGGTAATTAAATCATTTAAAACATCCATACCAAACATTGTACTATTGGTCCCAATAAATTTTTTCATGAGGTAAATTTGGCCAACTGAATTACCGATAAAACAAATACGAACTATAAAAAACAGAAAAGTAATACGCGTATTTGGTCGAAAGCTACATAATATTCGTTTAATTGTACTTGTTGCTCGTCTATGTCTTGCAGTTGATTCAGCTTGCTCTTCTAATGTAGCTACTAAACATGAAATAGCTTTTTGTCTAAGTTCTCTGTCTGGTACCGATGCCTCTTTAGCTGATCGCAGTAAAACGGGTAATCGTTTTGATCCAACTCGCCATAATATTTGAGGCACCCAACATAACATTGCTTGTCCAGCTAATACTATTGCTATCCACTGATAGTAGCCTATATATCTGACTTTTGTTAATTCATAATCATCTTCAGGGACTTGATCACTTGGATGAAGAAAATACGTATTCTGTACCCAACAGAGATTTTCTGCATATTCTTCCCAAGAATGTGTGAACTCTTGTGGCACCCAACATTGAATGGGTTTACCTGTAATTTTTAGAAACACACACAAATATATTAAGTCTAACTATCTGAATATAATATGTAAAACCAAAATATAAAAAAAGAATTCATTCTACGTGTTTTTAGTGTTTCGAATTCTGAGTAGTTTGGACTGAGAATGTGAAATCAATAGCTTGAAGGTAGTTGGGATCGATGATGATGAAAATTCTCAAAGATCTCTCCACAAAATGTATTATCTAATAAGACAATTGTGGTTTTATGAAACTGTTAACTGTGTATAAAATCAATAGTTTATCAACAAAAAATTGCAACTCATGATGAAGAACTTATTTATTTATCATCATTGCTTTTTTGATTATTTCACAATACGGCTACGGGTCTACATCTTTTATTATTTTAGATATTGAGAAAATGATTTACTAAACAAGTGATATAGCGGGGTTAAAAAATACTCAATTCGCTAACTTAACTGACTAAACAGAGAGAAAAACATGACACCGAAAAAAATAAATCATAACAGGTAGAATCAAATCACAAAGTATTCACGATACTATATCATAAAGTAAGTAATTTCATAACGACGTACATATATATTTATGAAATATCTAATGTTACGTTCTTTAAATATCACTTAATGCTCTATCCAATGGTTGTACTTCTGCGACTATAACTACTCATTGTGATTATTTATTCACAGTGTTGACGGACGTTTCTAGGACTTTAAGTTTAGCCAAACTTTTTGTCTAACTAATTACAGTCCTATTGGAAGTCTTGATATCATCTAATCTATCACCATCAAAATTTTAGCCTGATGTATACCAGGCTGATCTATAAGAACAATAAGTCGAACCTCCTTAAGAACGATAATGATTCACCTTGAATATTTCACAAAAATCACAACATGCCCCATGCTGCATTATGAAAATAACACTGAATTATTGATATTGTTGTCAACCTGTACTAAAATGTAAAGTCCATTAATATATTTGTTTTTAATAAGTTGCTGATGAAGATCAAAATGTTCAACATGTTTTTATCCGTTTTGTTAATTAAATGCTGATTTTATTTTTATTTTTTTATATCGATAGATCAGATGAAACATTTAGTGGAAACTAATTTCAAAATTTTTATACAAATATTTTTTTTGGTAAATTATGACAAGAGTGAAATAAAGGAGGAATCAATTGGCAGTGAATAGGGTTATTGAATGACATAAATTTAGGGAGTATTTATTGTATAAAAGGTAATGATAAATTCATTTTTCAAAAAGAAACATATTCGAAGACATTCAGTTAAATAACAGTAAAATACAAAGTGTTATTTTCAGTTTAGGAATCTTTTCAAAAATAAACCTCTTCTCAAATACTACGCGTTCATGTATTCGAAGATGTTCATGAACGGTAAAGTTATAACCCATATCAATGAATGTGGATGACTGTAAAAATGAATTCTCTATAAAACAGCATGTTCACCAATTCAGCTTAAGAGCGTCAATGTATAGTTTTTATACTACTATTAGTCGTGTGTATAAATTCACAAATAATTACTATGGCGGCTACATCGGCAGAACAAATATTCAGACCTACTTTGAATTTATATTGTCTTTCTAAATTACTTCAGTCAAAAAGAAGAGTGAAATTCATTATTGTTAATTCTAGATATTTCCTGATAATACAACAACAGAAAAACAACATAAAGTGGCAATAAAATGTCATTCAAAGCGGTAAATAAATAACCATGCTCTATCATTCAGAAATTTACTGAATTCATTTTTAACAAGTGTCTGAAACCTGGTTTATATATATTGATAAGGAATCATTTATTAATCTTCATTTGCCCTGGTAGCACAAATGCTACTATACAACCTACACACAAAATGACATTTATAAATCATTTTATTTATTTATACAAATCAGTATATCTTTGAAAGATTTATAGCAAAAGAAATGAAATGAATTCATTTCATTTAACAGAGTTTGTTGTTCTCATTTAACCAAATAGTTCGTAATTGGTTAAATTACAACTTTTCATTATCCGATTACTTCATAACAATCTTTCAACTCATTTATAGTGATGTACAGCAAGAATAAGGGTACTGTGAAATGGAATGAGTTTAAGTTATTTAGTACGCATACCCTCTTCAACCACTATCATCGATGTTAGTATTATAATCACCACTATTTTGATTACCTCACTGTAATTTTTTATATTATTTGCTAACATCTTCATTTGTTTATCCACTGTAGTGGCATGATCTCTCTTTCGCTCTCTCACTAAATTTATTAATCTATTTAATAAACACACACAAAAAAGTGGAAGGTATAATTATTTTTCACTAATGAATTAAATGACTTTACACAAGTTGTACATTAAATTGAATGTGTAATGCATTTTATTTTACTATAAAACAGTGCTAACGTAGGGAATTTAGTGTACATGAAATGAATGATATTCACTTCTTAGCAAAGATGTGTAGTGGCTGGCAGTGAAATCCAGAATGCACGTTTCAGTCTATTTAGGATGTACCTGCATCCAAGAGTTGATGTCCACTCTGGAACTCGAACCCAGTACCATTCACTTCAAACACCATTGTGTTATCCACTTAGCTACTGAGTTTTAATATTCACATCATTTACAAAACTCGTTGTTCATGCTTTATGAAAATTTCCTAAAACAACTAACTAAATGAAATTCTTATCATGTTCATAAATTTATTTTTAACTAAATTCTATTTATTTTATTCAAAATAATCACCACCATTTATTCACTAGATTGCCATCTATTCACAAGCCTTACAAAGTTTATTATTGTTATTATACCAAAGCATTAACTGATGTCCTATTTATACATGTAATAACTGATAATATCACTTTACTTTTTCCTGTTTGAACTTTTCATATAAACTTCATTTTTGTGTTTACATTACCAAATTCACTTTCTACATTCAATTCTGAAATATCATAGTTTGTATACAACTAATGAAACTATAACAAAATATGTTAAATTCATCATTATTGTTCCTTTCAATATTAATCAAACTAATAGGTTTTCTCTCTTTAGAAATCATCTTCATCAACAAATTGTTTTTAAAGATTAAAAACAATATTATTATGTATTAGATAAATTACATAAATTATTCTTAATGCTATCACAAAATGTATATGATAGCGTAAGAAAAAAAACACCAGTTCATGGATCGTAGATACGTAATTCCTAGGAATCTCACACTAGGATGAAACAATCATCCAGTGCTTCGAAGTTTTTCATAGTGGTCTAGCTTTAATTAACTCATGAATTCAACTTTTGAAATTACCATAATATTTACAAAAACCTCTTTTAATGCTAATCAGCATTTGTTCACTCGTGGCTAGCTTCAAGAGGTATTTCCTGGGGTTCTAGTAAGAAGCAGTGACCAGTAGAGTTCAACCGGGTTTGTTGTGAGATAGTAACTCACTGAAGACAATAGTGGATATGTTACTTAATTTTGTGGATTAGTTCAAGTCAGATATTAACACCACTGGATGCCGGCTCAGTGATCTTGAGGTTAAGAGTAAATTATTTTCTGTTTATAGATGATGGAATTTTATAGTACATTCATTCAACCATATATATAGTAAATCATGTACACTTATGATGTAATTTCATGATTTCTATTCAATACATCATATGTTTTTATATGTTAAACTATATCTAATAATAAACGTATGTACATTCATTCACCTAGAGAATCGAAGAAAACTAACATGTGATCAGATAAATTATTCTTTTTATTATGGTACATTGTCGGTATACTTGTTTTTTACATCTAATTATGTTTATGTTTATATTACTTTTTGAAAATTTTAAATTATTTACCATAAAGCCAAAGATAAAATAAATTGTATTATTATTATTGGATTTACTGCATAAATTAATAGTAGGATTCACTTGGTATTGTTTGCTTATATCTTCCCACTGTTATTTCAGACTACTATTGATCAGTCTCATATTAGTATGTATGCATACTGTACAAATTGCCTCGATAATTTATTAAGTCACACGATTTATAAGCAAAGATGGATGATTGTTAGCAGTGGAATCCAGAATGCACGTTTCGTCCTATTTTGGACTCGTCAGCTGGATATACCTTCAACTCAGAGTTGATGTTCACTCCAGGACCCAAATTAATAGTATTTTATAGAATATATTTAGAGAAAATACCATTCGCGTGTGATAATGTTTCAAATCTTGGATTTTAAAGTGGGCATAAAGACGTTGAGATTGAATGAAATTAGTCAGTAAGATATTTTGGGAAGAAACAGAAGACATAACACGAAGTTTTTCATAATTAAAAAAAGCATATTTATCCAGCAAAATTGGATATTCTATTTTTTGTTCACAATGAAATTTTGATATCAGAAGCACTTGTCACCAGAGTAATTTTCTGGTTTTCTTTTTATTTGAACTACAATAGCTTGAGAAGACTGTCACTATGTTGAAATTCCAGCTATTATTTATAAATTAAATGACACTATATTTAATTCGTAATCAGTAAAATTACACCAAGTAGACCTAGAAATGTCACTTTATACTCAGTATAATTCTTTTGAAGACTCGTAGAATAATATTCAACAAATGTTCACTCCAATTAGGATAATGGCAACTAACGGAATCTAAGACGCGAGTTTCGTTCTGTTTGAGATTATTCTTTTGGATAATCTTGATCCTAGTAATAATGTTCATGCCAGAACTCGAGCTTAATACCTTCCGCTTCGAACGTAGTATGCGATATAATGTTACAAACTAGCCACAAGTTTGTGCAACAGTGATGGATTTAATTTTTAAATGCTTGTATATTCTCCTTATTGATGTTAAGGAAAGGAACTGAACAATATCTTTTGCTATATGTACAAACATATAAATATTAGTATTTAACAATGTGACTGATAAAACTAACTTGAATTTAAAACTAAAATCTGTTTCAAATTTTGATTGAACTTGTCAAAATACATGGAATTCGATACGTGTATATTAAGAGGCAAATA